GGTTATCATTTGAGATAACAATGTGTCTGCTCAATAATGGATGTCCATTAGAGTTGGTAATGATTTTACACATCATGGTGGATCCTGGATGACCTAGATGGTCATACCAAAATATGTAAATTTTTGGATCAATGAACTTCTGGTTCATGACAGTATATGCTTCATTATGTATGTATAATACAATCCATTTGATAAACCACACAACTTCTCCAATGTACGCTTCTGGGTATCATTGGAGGTAATGCATAGATATTCCACATTTTCTGCACTTTTTATTTCAATGTGCTATCCATTTAAACATATGTCTTTAAAACTCAACAAATTTCGAGTAGATCGAGTAGCGTACAATACATTTTGTATAGACAATATTGTTCCATTTGGTAACATGATCTAGGCTTTTTCTAAGCCTTCAATTACATCTGACTGGCCTGACATTGTTGTTACCTTTACTTTTGTAAGCATAAAACTTGAGAAATATTTTCGATCTCTAAGTATTGCATGCATGGTTACGTTGTTTGCAAGATAAATATCTCTGTCATTGATATTGTTTTGAGAATAACCATAGTTTTTATCCATTCTTTATAAGTAAGGGAATCACAGTTAAAAACAGTTTATTCATAATCAAAGGAAATTGAAATGCAACTTTTATTAATTGAAATGCAAGCTTTAAACTACAAGTTCAGATAATAAGAGTTCATCAAACAGAAATGATTCAATCAGATCGATACACTTCATTCCCTCTTTCCACAATGAAGTCTAAGACATCTATGCAGGTTGTGTTCAATTACCTTGATAAATAGAACATTGGATCATGTATATCCATCGGTTTAGCCTGGTCGAGGAAATTGGTTTCGACACCTTTCTCCTTGAAGGAGGCTTGATACAAGTCCACTAGATATTTTGGGGTACGACAGGTATGCACCCAGTGCCCATTGCCACCACACCTATGGCAAACTCCTTTAGGGTTTCTAAGAGTGTTATTCATATGAGCTTTACCTTTGTGGCGATTTACATTTTTGAAGCTCGGGCCTGAATTATGCCTTGAAACCTGGTTGTAAAACTGGACACCATGATTCTTGCCTTTCCCGTTCCACCGGCCTCGCTTGTGGCCATGTTCTCGTTTGTAATTATTATCATGAGAGGATGTGGTGTTCACTTCGAGGGAAGCAACATTCACTTTTGGGAATGGTGCTGATCCAATAGGTCGGGACTAATGATTTTTCATTAGAAGCTCATTGTTTTGTTCAATCACAAGGATCATAGAAATCAACTGGTTATATTAGTAAAGTCTCGCTCTCTATATTGCTCCTGCAAGAGCACATTGGAGGCATGAAAGGTGATGAAAGTCTTTTCTAGCATATCTTCCTCAGTGATGGTCTCCCCACATAGCTTTATCTGGGAGCTAATTTTGAACATTGCAGAGTTGTACTTTGCAACTGACTTGAAATCCTAGATCTTTTAGTGTATCCACTCATAACGAGCCATTGGAAGATTTTCTGGTGATTGTATCTATTTCTCAATGCCTTTTAGAGGGCTAATGGATCTTCAACCGTTAGATACTTGCTCTTTAGTCCTTCATCAAGGTGGTGACGGATAAAGATCATGGCCTTGCCTTCGCCTGATCTTGAGAGGATGCACTGTTTTCCTCCTAGATGGTTTTTCCATGGTTCCCTGCCTCTAGATGAATATTAGTATCCACTACCCAAGTAAAGTAGTTCTTCCCAGTAATGTCTAGGGCAACAAAATCAAGTTTTGCCAAGTTCGCCATTTCTTTTTTGGAAAAAAAAAAAAAAAAGATGTGTACGAATTTGCAATAATATATATTCTGGAGGAATGTAGTGTTAGAACTTCTGGTTCTTACAAATTTTTTATTTTGATCTTCAAGCCAAAATGATAAGCACTCGAAACTTCAAGCTCGAGATTTGCATGCTTAATGAGGAGGGTGATTGTATCACACCACTCTCATTGAAACAAAATAGCATAGGATGAGAGATTATACCACACCACTCAAGTAGCAGGAAAATTTAAATATGCAGAGAAGGGTGGGCGATTATACCGCACCATATTTGATCGCAGTAAAATTAACATAAATAGACATTGAGTTAGTAATCAGGAGCTACATCAAACAAGAAATCAAAGATATAAGTAATTGTTATATTGAGAACTAGAAGCAGGCATGATGCTAGCAGTTCTTCGCGAGGGCACATCAAGCAGGTGAGGCAAAGAAGGAAGAAGAACAGGAAAATCCTTAAAGGAGGCATTTTTCAGCAGAGGGAGATGAAAACTGATTAAAGTTAGGGAGTCGTGTTGATAACGTGTTATAAATAAGCAAAAGTTAGAGAGAACCTTTGCTAGGGACAATAGCGAAACGGGGCAAAATATCACACTTTTTAGTTTCGTAACTATCACACAAAATGATTGCAGGTAAAAAGAGAAAGCGAAGGATACTGATATTGTTGATTTCATTTCTTTTCTTTCCTTTGTTGTGTGTTGTGAACAACACGAAGTGCTCTTTAAATAGGGCCATTCCTATGAAAACTTACAAAGACGAATGATTGTTCTTTGAAAACTTCAAACAACAACAACAACATGATCACTATTATAAAGTCTTCTCACCTTTTGCCAAAAGCAAGTGGGCATTCACCCCACTACTTTTACAACAACATCTCAATTATACATGTATCTGTTAAAGATGTTGTAATATAAGGCCATGTGTAGAACTTTCCTTGTATAACCTTGTACAAATGATCTGAAAAATACCTTTTATTTATTTGTTTGTTTTGGTCAAGGAAGATCTATTAACTCCAAAGATACATATTACATACAAAAGACCATAAAAAGAGAAACATAAACGAGCAAAAAAATGGGCCAATCCAACAAAAGCCCAACCAAACAGTTAAGGCCTAACAACAAAATCTATTGTAACTGCCTCCATCGAAACAGTACATCTCAATATGCACAAATCCACACCCATCATTGAGCATTGCCTCACCAAACTCATCATCCAAACCCAAACAGCTTCTTCGAGCACATCCACAAAGTACAGATAACCAACTGAAAAAAGTCAGTCGGCTATCAAGAGAAAGAAGCTCATGGAAAACCATGAGCAACATTGCCAAAATTGGCAAACATCAGAGAAGAGGTGGTGGTGTTGGAAACACCCGAGTTGATTGAAGAACCGGAACTCTACACACCATCTCGACGAAAAGTATGGCTAAAAAACAAATCTCATAAGAAGGAGATCGAAGCCCAGATGAACAATAGGAAGGGATGTCAGAAAGATAAGATGAGGAGGACATATCGAAATGTAGAGGAGTGGTAATACACAGCAGAAAAGGGGAACCAAAAAGACAAAAAAAAAAAGGAAAATGGGCAACCGACTCTAGCTGAAGATAAAGTCGGCACCACTAATTTTGAGCAAGATTGGAGACCCTTACAGTAAGAGGTGAAAAACTCTCAAAGTAGAGAGAAGGTCTCTCGTGAAAGGAGAGAAGTCTAGAAGCTGGGTATTGTTTTTCCATGAAAATACTTTGACAATATGAAATCAGGAAACTTTGTGCTTGGTATGTATCAGCATCAGCTTTCAAATTGTTGGTATTAGTCTTCCATCACACACCATTTATTTATTATTTATTCAAATATTTATAGTGAGACAGATGGTTGAGTTTACCAATAAAAAAAGATAGTTGAACAAAACAACCGTTATTAGTAGTAACTGTTAAATCAAATTATGCTTGATGTTGATGGTAATTGGTCCATATTTGAACTAGAGCTGGTATTTTCTGAATCAAATACTAAAATTAAATAAAAATTTACTGAAACTAAAATTATCAAAATAAAAAATTATCAAACTTTACGGTTCGATTTTGATAAGCAAACTTGGTTGGTTCGGTTTTACCGTAACCGACCTGAAATTTTTATTAATGTTAGAAATATATAAAATATTAGTGTATTTTGTTGAGATTAATCTTAACCGTTGAAATTGGTTGCGACTATTCGTAATCATTGGTTCATAAAGACAAACTCGTTCGGTTATTTTCTCTCTTCTCCGTCGACTCATTCTCTTTCCATCTCAACTCATTCTCTCTTATACCTCTTGACTCACTCTCAGGCTCTCAGCCAGCATCAACACTTAGCAGCGGCGGAAGGTGAAATGCCACTTCCACCGCCTCACCACCTCGTCCAACGATTCAACTATGTCCACCCCTACATTCGAAGACTAGTTCAACTTCAAGAGGAAGGAGTTGGACTTCTACAAGAGGGAGGGACCAAATGAGTCGAAGAAGCTGAAGGCGTTAAGCTTCTACATCAAGCTCTTGAGTTTGAACTTTAGACTCTTATTTTGAATAATTTGGAAGTGTATTTTTAGGAAGGATTAGTCCCTGAAGTTCCACCTCACTTCAGATTTTGCCCCTAGACTAAAAATTCATAATCATTAGTTTACGTCCTTGAATTTAACAAAACATGCACCATTGGTCCTTACCGTTAACTTTCGTTAGAAAGTCTGTTAAACCGATGACGTGGACATATGTGAGTCTCGCATTTTATTTTATAAACGAAGTTAAGTAATGATGTGCCGAATGAGAGTCTTGTATTTCCAATGACATTGAGATAAAATTTAAAAGTTAGAAAGTATGCTTAATAGTTTTGTTGCAAATAGATGTGGGCGTAACCACATTATATATATATATATATATATATTATTTTTTTAATTATATTTATTTATTCGTACTATGATATATTAGTATTTATTTTCATTTATAAGTAAGATGTTTCTGATTTTATTTCTTTAATACAAACAATAGTATGCTATGGAGGAATCGAACTTGATATATCATGTTACAAACTTATAGTACCATATTTAACTCATTTAAATAATGAATTGATACTAATTATTGTGTCAGTATCTCATTTCCTTGTATGAAAAAATTGTTTGTATTCAAAATGTAGTCACCAACAAAATAATATTATTTAGGAGAATTCGAAGCCCACAACCCATTGACGTAAAAGCAAATACAGAAGACGGAGGTGGCATACTCTTAAGAATTTTCCGATTGCGCAATTGTCGGCTCAGCCCTTCCTTCCTTCTCAAACTATAAATATCTCCCTCTTTTTATTTTCTCACTCCAAAATAACCCAAATGAAACGAAGAGATAGAAAGAGAAAGAGAGAGATCCGATCGAATTCGAATGCATAATCCACTGACAATCCAATTCCCAAATCAATGTCCGCCTCCCAAACCCTAGGTGGCCCCTCCCGCGCCGGCCGCCTGCTCGGCCCCTCTCTCGACAAAATCATCAAGAACGCCGCCTGGCGCAAGCACTCCCATTTGGTCTCCGCCTGCAAATCCGCCCTCGACAAGCTCGACTCCGTCACCGACTCCTCCATCATCGATCCCAAGTCCCCCGTCTCAGGCATCTCCCTCGCCGACGCCGAGTTCGCCCTCCGCCCCGTCCTCCTCGCCCTAGAATCGGCTTACCCCAAGGTCGTCGAGCCAGCCATCGACTGCGTCTTCAAGCTTTTCTCCCTCGGTATCTTCCGCGGTGAGATCGACACTTCCGATCCCAAATTTGTGCTTTTCAAGCTCGTCGAGTCGGTGTGTAAGTGCGCGGCGATCAGCGAGGAGCCTATCGAGCTCGGCGTGCTTCGGGTATTGCTCGCCGCCGTGAGATCGCCGCGGGTTTTGATACGCGGTGATTGTTTGGTGAATATTGTTAGGACTTGTTACAATGTGTACCTTGGTGGAGTGAATGGGACCAATCAGATCTGCGCCAAGTCGGTTTTGGCTCAGATTATGGTGATTGTTTTCACCAGAGTAGAGGAGGATTCGGTGAATGTCAGCATTTCTAGGGTTTCGGTGAACGAGTTGTTGGAATTCACTGATAAAAATTTGAACGAAGGGAGCTCCATTTTGTTGTGCCAGAATTTCGTCAATGAGGTTATGGATGCAAGCTACGGCGGTCCGGATGGTATCAAAACGGTTGCCCCCACGAGGTCCCAAATTACAAAACGGCAATGCTAGTGGTGAGTCTAATAATGATGGAGCTGAATCCGGCGACGGTGCTAGTAAGATTAGGGATGATGGGTATCTTTTGTTTAAGAATTTGTGTAAGTTGTCCATGAAATACTCATCACAGGAGCACTCTGATGATCAAATTCTCTTGAGGGGTAAAGTATTGTCCTTAGAGCTTTTGAAGGTGGTCATGGACAATGGGGGTCTAATTTGGCGCAACAATGAGAGGCAAGTGATCGTATGCTAATCATACTTGAGTCATTTCATGCTTATAAACGAGTATTTAGTGTACTTTTACTTTGAAAGCATAGCAGAGTAGATATCTGGAGAAGTAAACACAGTTTAAATTAGTGACTAAAGAATGTTTAAGACTTTAGATATTAGCGGTATACAATGCAGGTGCTTTGAGTGGCATTTTCTTCTTGTTAAGGACTTTAAATCTGATATGCAGTATTTTTGTTATTGTACTGTTTCTGATATATTGTTGCTGAACATATTGTTTACTTTAGTACACTTTTGCAATATTTTCATGAATCACTGTGAGGAAGCCAATAGTTTGCATTAACTTGGCACAGGTTTCTCAATGCTATCAAGCAGTTCCTCTGCTTATCACTGTTAAAAAACAGTGCGTTGTCAGTCATGGCCATTTTCCAGCTTCAGTGTTCTATTTTCACCAGCTTGTTATCGAAATTCAGATCAGGATTGAAAGCAGAAATTGGTATATTTTTTCCGATGCTTGTCCTACGTGTGCTTGAGAATGTTCTCCAGCCTAGTTTCTTGCAAAAAATGACAGTCCTCAATCTATTGGAGAAGATCTCTCAGGATTCGCAGATTATCATTGACATTTTTGTCAACTATGACTGTGATGTCGATGCCCCAAACATCTTTGAAAGGTACTGCACTTGTCTGTTACTTTTTTACTTTCCATGCCCTTGATGCCATCAGAACATGAAGTCCTCTGGGTATTCCTTATTTTCTGTTTTGGTATTAATTTTCTTTGAAGCTTGAAGCTTACATATCTGAATGAAAATATTTAAATTTGGAGGTAGCTGAATTCTACTTAGGAGATAATAACATTTATCTCGTAGTTTAAGGCTGCATATTTAGGACCCTTTTGTTCCTGAGCTAGGATTCAGGATTACCACTTGGAAGTTTCCAAATTACTCTAACCCAATAAGAGCTTGAAAATGGGGCTACATTCTTTTAGCTTAAGCCAATGTGAACGATTGATTTTTCCAAAAACTCTAGCTTGAACCCAGTGTTTTTTCGCTCTGGGTCTATTTAGCTCTCTCTCTCACACACACACACTCAAAATGCATGCATATTTATTTTTTTTTAACATCATTCCTTTGTAAGCGTTGTGTTTTTGTAAAATGTATTAAAACCCTTATAATTCCATCAGATATTTGCAGGATTGTCAATGGCCTTCTGAAAACTGCTCTAGGACCTCCCACTGGTTCAACAACAACATTGTCTCCAGTCCAAGATATCACTTTCCGGCATGAATCCGTAAAGTGCTTGGTTAGCATCATACATTCAATGGGATCTTGGATGGACCAACAGCTGAGTATGGGAGACTCCTATCTACCAAAGACCAATGAAAGCGACACCTCAACTGAGAAAACAGAAAATAGTTCGACCCCAAATGGTGAAGAAGGTAGCTGCTTTTGATAATGAAGTACATCCAGAAGGAAGTGCTGAAGTTTCAGATGCTGCAACTCTTGAGCAACGTCGAGCTTATAAGCTTGAACTTCAGGTTGAGCTCTGCTTTATTTGTATAGCGAAATACAGTATACAATCATCAGGAATGCAATATGAATTTCGTGTTTGTCCCATCAGTTGATATGTCTCTGGCTAAATATGGCTCTTTCTTTAGTGACATTTTATTGTTTTTAATACAGAAAGGTGTCTCGCTGTTTAATAGGAAGCCTAACAAGGGCATTGAGTTTCTGATAAGCACCAAAAAAGTTGGTAGTTCCCCAGAAGATGTAGCTTCTTTCCTGAGGAACAACACTGCCGGCCTAAATGAAACCATGATTGGTGATTATTTGGGTGAAAGGGAGGAATTTCCTCTAAAAGTTATGCATGCTTATGTCGATTCCTTTAATTTCAAAGGGATGGATTTCGGTGAAGCAATAAGGTTTTTCCTGCGGGGCTTCAGGTTACCTGGAGAAGCACAGAAAATTGACCGCATCATGGAGAAATTTGCTGAGCGCTACTGTAAATGCAGTCCAAATTCGTTTACAAGTGCAGATACTGCATATGTCCTTGCATACTCTGTGATAATGCTCAATACAGATGCCCATAACAACATGGTGAAAGATAAGGTTTGCATGCATAACATGTTCCTTTATGTTTTATGTCAAACCGCAATGAATTTTGAGCCCTTTTTCTCTGTTGATAGTTTGCAGTAATTATTTGGGTGAGCTTTGTCTTTTCTGTTTTTATTATTCTTAATTTGGATCATATGTAGGTGAATAGTCAGGTTATATTTTTTACATTCCCCAGATGTGGTTTGTCTAAATATAAGAATGTTGCTTTCTGAAGTTATGCCTAGATGTTCACATTACAGGAGTTGAAATCCTTTTGGGAACATCATTATCTCATTTTATATTTTTTTTTAAATGTTCTGTCATTTTTTTTTTTCCTTTTTGTTTTATTTTGGAGGAGGGGGTAATTGAGGGAAATAACATTCTTTTTCTGTAGAATTTTAATTTTTTTTTGAAGTGTGTAACTATAAATCAATAAAATCTTGTGTTGCAGCCTCATTTTTATACACATCGTATAGCATTTTAGTGTCTGTCAAAATCTATCTTCTGTCTTCTGACATCTGTGTTCGCCGGTTATTCAGATGACCAAGGCTGACTTCATCCGGAACAACCGAGGAATAGATGATGGAAAGGATCTACCTGAGGAGTATCTTGGTGTCCTGTATGATCAAATTGTTAAAAATGAGATTAAGATGAGCGCCTGACTCTTCTGTACCACAGAGCAAGCAGGAAAACAGTTTTAATAAATTATTGGGCTTGGATGGTATCCTGAATTTGGTTACTGGGAAGCAGACTGAAGAAAAAGCATTGGGTGCAAATGGTCTTCTTATAAAGCACATTCAAGAGCAATTTAAAGCAAAGTCAGGAAAATCAGAGTAAGCTAATATAATATACAAGATAGAATTATCTTTCTCTTATTAGCAAGATATTTTACCTATGACACTGATGGAGCATTGAGAAGTGGGTTAGTATGGTCATGGTTTAATGAGTATAACTATTCTTTTTTAATATCTTATGACACTTGTTTTGACTATGTAGAAATGACAGTCACACCTTCCATTGTTGTTCCTTCTACTGCCAAATACTTAGGTTACTCAGATACCGTTTTGGTACTATACATTAATGTAGTTGGTTGGGGGAAAACTGAACTCTGCTTGATCATACTTAATCTCATACTTTTATTCAACCAGTTCCAAGCCAGACAGAGGAAGACAGTTGTAGGAGGTTGAAAGCCAATGTCTACATAGTCACATTCTATCAACATCTTTCGTTTATTACACAAAATAATTAAAGTAATTACCCAAATTAGGTCTAAGGCATTGTCGAGTCGGTATGAGTTGGTTTGGGACTTTAAGATCAATTGATCTGATCAATGTGGGATTGGAGCTTGCCTTCTGCCTATTCAGAGTCTGGCAACGTTTGGGGATTCATGTTTTCTTGGTGCTGCAGGTCTGTCTATCATGCTGTGACAGATGTGGCAATATTGAGGTTTATGGTGGAGGTCTGCTGGGGTCCTATGTTGGCTGCATTTAGTGTGACTCTTGACCAAAGTGATGACAGGCTTGCTACTTCTCAATGCTTACAAGGTTTTCGGCATGCTGTTCATGTTACTGCTTTGATGGGAATGCAGACCCAGAGAGATGCATTTGTCACTTCAGTAGCAAAGTTTACTTATCTACATAATGCTGCAGATATGAGGCAAAAAAATGTTGATGCTGTAAAGGTAAGTGCATGCTCAGTATATTCATTGAAGAGCATGTTAAGCATGTATCTGGATTTTCACATGTAACACCATTCCCCACATGTATTATAATTGTAAAACAAATTTGATCAATTTGCATTACAACTTTCTTTCTTGACCCTTTTCATATAACAAATGATACCATAGAAATTTAGGGCTTAGGGTTACTGTTAGCAGAATATAGCACCAGACTTTTATTGCTTGCATTCTTTGGATAGTACAGGTGTATGCGCTCAGTATGTTTCTGTGCAATGTCCTTTTATATCAGTTTTACCTATACATTTACTGTTTGCAGGCAATAATATCAATTGCCATTGAAGATGGTAATCATCTTCAGGAAGCATGGGAACACATATTAACGTGTCTTTCCCGAATCGAGCATTTGCAACTGTTGGGAGAAGGTGCACCCACTGATGCATCCTTTTTTACTGGATCAAAGGTCGAAACAGAGGAAAAATCACCAAAGCCTACTGGACTTTCTTCTCTGACAAAAAAGGGAACTATACAGAATCCAGCTGTGATGGCTGTTGTTCGTGGGGGTTCATATGACAGTACTAGTGTCCGGGTGAACACTTCTGGACTGGTAACTCCAGAACAGATTAATAACTTCATTTCAAACTTGAATTTGCTGGATCAGATTGGGAATTTTGAGTTGAATCATGTATTTGCTCATAGCCAAAGATTAAACAGTGAAGCAATAGTGGCTTTTGTGAAGGCCTTGTGCAAAGTTTCCATGGCAGAGTTGCAATCTCCAACAGATCCTCGCGTATTCAGCCTCACAAAAATAGTTGAAATAGCGTACGAGTCTTTTCTCCTCTGTATTAGATTCTGTTGCATGAGAACAATGACAGCAGAATTTATATTTTATTATGAGATTACGCATGAAAACTTAAAATTTTCAAGCTCCCAAATGGCATGCTAAGCATAAGTCCATACAATCTTTTTCTCAAATTCAAACTCTGTAGTACTTCTCCATGTTCTTTTTCTTGCAGATATATTCATTGCTTCTTGTCTTCGCCTTTCTCTCACATTGATGATTAATTTTTCCTGATAATCAGTCATGCAACTTCATCTGAACAAAATGAGAACTTGGGATGGATTTTACGATCACAAAATAAATATGTTTCTTTGCAGGCATTACAATATGAACCGCATCAGATTAGTGTGGTCTCGCATATGGAATGTTCTCTCAGATTTCTTTGTATCAGTTGGCTTGTCAGAGAACCTCTCAGTTGCAATATTTGTGATGGATTCATTACGTCAGCTTGCTATGAAATTCTTAGAGCGCGAGGAGCTGGCAAATTACAACTTCCAGAATGAATTTTTGAGACCATTTGTGATTGTTATGCAAAAAAGCAACTCTACAGAAATTAGGGAATTAATTGTTCGGTGCATTTCACAAATGGTCCTCAGCCGTGTCAATCATGTGAAATCTGGCTGGAAAAGTGTATTTCTGGTATGCTATTGTGTTACAAGTTGAATGACTTAGCGTTACATTTATGATAAGTGTTTGCTGAATGTAGGCTATATAGGGGAAATAGAAATTCCCCTAGTGTAGATGAGTTAAATTTTGAAGATTTGTGATCCAAATTGAAATATTGCCACTGTGAAGTTTCAAATGATAAATTCAGGCAGTAACACAAAATATTGGTAATAAGTTCCTCTATTTCTCTTGTTAGAGCTGTAAAGTTTATTTTTAAGCCATTGTGTCTTATCATTCTAATGATCTCGAAGTAGGATTTTGGGTGTGTTTTCCACAGCTTTAAGTAAAAAAATCTTGCTATTGCAAAATGACAGAAATAATGCCTTGTTTCTCACGTCATGCTGTTCTTTCATCAGGTTTTTACGGCAGCGGCAGCTGATGAGCGGAAAAATATTGTCTTGTTGGCCTTTGAGACCATGGAAAAAATCGTCAGAGAATACTTCCCCTATATAACAGAGACAGAGACAATGACTTTTACTGATTGTGTTAGATGCCTCTTAACCTTCACGAATAGCAGATTCAATAGTGATGTTAGCCTCAACGCTATTGCATTTCTCCGATACTGTGCTGTCAAACTTGCTGAAGGAGGGCTTGTTTACAACAAGAGGAGTGAGCTTGATGTTTCATCCCTTCCAACAGCAAACGAGGATGCTTCAAATGGAGTGACTTTCAATGAGAAAGATGAACATGCATCCTTTTGGGTTCCATTGCTAACAGGTAACTTGATTTTAATGCTAGCTTCCAGGAAAGTGCTACAACTTCTTAGCTTTGTGTATTGTGATGTGCACCCACACAATCAATGCTTTGCCACTTAATCTACACCTAGGCCCCAAGCATTAAATGCAAGAGTTTATAGATATAAACATCCAATTTTTGGGTAGTCGGTTTTATTTCTCTTCAATTCTATTTTGGATTTTAGAGAAAGGTCTTGTTGGTCTTCAGTCTTTTCAAATTGATTCATCCTTTTCTTTCATTACTTAAATATTCTGTTGTTGTCACAGGTTTGTCAAAGCTAACATCAGATCCTAGATCAGCAATCAGGAAGGGTTCTTTGGAAGTTCTTTTCAACATTCTAAAGGATCATGGTCATCTCTTCTCACGCTCCTTTTGGACTGCGATATTCAATTCTGTTGTTTACCCCATATTTAGCTATGTCTGCGGTAAGAAAGACACACATATGGAAAAAGACCAGTCTTCACCAGTTTCAGTATCTCCGCGTCCTGATGGAAGCACATGGGATTCTGAAACTTCTGCAGTTGCAGCAGACTGTTTCATAGATCTATTTGTCAGTTTTTTCGATACAGTAAGGCCGCAACTACCAGGTGTGGTATCCATTCTGACAGGACTCATCCGAAGTCCTGTTCAGGGTCCTGCTAGCACTGGGGTCGCAGGTTTAGTGCGTTTGGCTGGTGAAGTTGGTGACAAGCTTTCAGAAGATGAGTGGAGAGAGATCTTTCTGGCTTTAAAAGAAGTAACCACATCTTCCGTGCCTGGATTTATGAAGGTGTTAAGAACCATGGATGACATCAATATTCCCGGTCTTTCTCAATCTTATAGCGATATAGATTTGTCTTCTGATCATGGGTTTACAAATGATGATCTTGAGGATGATAATCTGCAAACAGCATCATATTTGGTTTCAAGAATGAAGAGTCATATTGCTATGCAGCTACTTATCATACAGGTTTTCTTCCTCCCCTTTCATCCTTCACATGCATTCAGGCATGATTTATGTTTGTAGTTCTTCCTTCCCCGTGCTCATAAATACAGCATACATGCAAATATGATGTTCGTGTGATTGCTTAATTGCTCCTTTTTTTATGTCTGTTGTGTCAATGCTTATGGTCACAGTCACACTATTGACATAAGGAACTCGGAATTTGATTTTTTATTTCTAGCATATGTATGGTACCAAGTATCCGTGCTACTGATGCTACTTAACTGAGACCTTCATGTATATTTTATTAACTTATAATATTGTAAACATGTAAAGTACAGTTTAAAAGTTAGAGCTATGCTTGCGAACTATGTCAAAACTGTGGAATTTTCATTATTTTCTCTTGTTTCTTCTCTCTTCAGGTTGCTACTGATTTGTACAAGTTACACCTTGAATCATTATCGGTTGGCAACATTTCAATCCTCCTTGAAATATTTTCCCTCATTGCATCCCATGCTCACCAACTGAACTCAGAGACAATTCTGCACAAGAAGCTGCAAAAAATGTGCTCCGTCCTGGAACTCACTTCCCCACCTCTGGTTCATTTTGAGAATGATTCTTACAAGAACTACTTAAGCTTCCTCCAAAACACCCTCGTGGACAATCCTTCTCTTTCGAAGGAGATGAACATAGAAGCCAAACTCGTTGGAGTGTGTGAAAGTATATTGCAGATATACCTAAAGTGTACCGAGCTTCATTCTGCCGAGCAGAGGCCTGCTGATCAGCCGATTTTGAACTGGATTCTTCCCTTGGGCACAGCAAAGAAGGAAGAATTGGCCGCGAGGACCGACATAGCCGTGTCAGCGTTGCAGGTATTGAACAGTCTGGAAAAGGTTTCGTTTAGGAGGCACGTCTCTCGGTTATTTCCGTTGTTCGTAGATCTTGTGAGGAGTGAGCACGCATCTGGAGAAGTTCAGCTTGTTCTAAGCAACATATTCCAATCATGTATAGGCCCAATAGTAATGCAATAATACCTCTATTTTTTGTGAGACACTTGATTAATACACATTGCCATCATCAAATCACAATTTTCTTCTCCTCGAACAGACTGGAGCCACAGAGAGAGCCATTAATATAATTTCCATTAAATTTTGTAGTTTATACAGAATCAAGGCTGGATTTTCCCTCCTTTTGAAGAGTGTATCATCTAATGTCTCAATAATATCTACATCTATTACAGTATGAGGGCCACCGTCAGTGAGACCCAAAACTGTATCTGGCATGATTTGCGCGAGGGGTTTTGTTTTAAGTTATATCTCCAAAATGGTCATCGTGCATTTTTTGGGATTCGACAGCCATAACGATTTTGAAATGCCCATAATAACTCATGTTATTGATTTGATTAATAGTTCATTTTCAAGTAGTGTTTAAAATATCAATATAGATGGAAATATTGATATGCAAATATATAAATTAGACAAATCAATCGATTATTAATTAATACATAATCCGATCTTACCCTAAACTTTCTCTATCGAAAGACTTGTCTCTCACTCTATATAGGGATGCCGATGCCGTTCAAATCACTAAAACAATGAAAAAAAATATGAAGTTTTATCTCGTGTGAAGCATTTGAAACGTCGATTTCGTGTTCCATTCGTCAAAAATAATTTTTCGCAATCAACGTGTTTGTAGTTTCATTGGTTAGAGTTTTATTCTACAATTAAGGGTGAGTGACACGTTCGGACCCCGATATCCCCAAATACCAGGATGGGCATGTGCTGGCAGACACCCGGGGGTGACGAAGCCATTTTAACATGCATGCAAGTTATGAAGAAAGAACAAAGGTAACTAAAATAAGTAAATTTAAATATAATGAAATATTCAAATGCAAGGAACGTGTACAGTGTATACAACTAATCGAGATACGGAAGGAAAATTATGAAATAAATGAGATTACAAGGAAAGTGGGTCCTACACCAAGGGAACTAAAATACTGTTATGAGAGTGCCTCGATACCGGGATTGTACGCCTTGTTTCTAATTCCTATTTGGAAGTCCAATGGTGGTTAGAGATGGCTGAAAAATGGCCTGAAAGGCGATAGGTTCGCAGGCAAACTGGGTTCTTTGCCAAAAACTCAGAACGAGATGAACAGATTGGTACCCTCCTCAACGGCTAACTTGTTGTGGTTTGGTTGGAAAATGACTTAGAAGGTCGCGGGTTCATCAAAAAACTTTCTTGACAACTGACCAACCGTGGTTTGGTCGGAAAATTGCTCGAAAGCTGTTAGATAGTTTGCTGGAAAACTGAGGAAGAGTCCCCTCATCGTTTATGGGTTTCGCCAGAGTGTAGGGGAGGTGATGGTCGTTGTCGTCGTTGTTGTTGTGGTTGTATGTGTGTGTGTGCACGCGCACTCAGAGGAGAAGAAAGAGTGCAGAGAGATGAGGGTGAGAGAGAAAGGGAGAGAAACAGAGTGATGGGAAGAGAGAAGAGAACCACGGGAGAGAAAGAGGAAGGAGAGAGTTTTAGAAGATGGGGACTCCTCCCTAGGTTCCACGTGGCACAGACAACAATGCCACATGTGCCAATTAATAGCAAAAAGATCAAAATGCTCGGAGTTCCAAACTTCGTAGAATCTTCGTTATAACTCCAAACTACATTCTGTTTGCGCCCATGGATTCGTAGCGACGAGTACTACAAGAATACGTTAACATAATAGGTTATACATTGTATGGTACGAGGGTCAACAAAAGTCAATGATTTCGTCTCGAAAGGCCTTTTCGTAAAATCACACATTTAAAAATTATAAAACGGAAATTTTAGGAACAGGTCATTACAGTGAGGGGTTTTGAGAATTGAAGATAAGTAATATATTAAAAGTGATTTGGGGTAAATTTAGAATTTTTTTTTTTTTAACATTATAAGATCGAAATTGTCATTGCATAGTATAGTACATAAGTCATTTAATATTAAATTTTATTGTGTCATGTATTCAACATTATGTGAGTTGAACATTGTATTCAACATTATATTAAATTTAATTGTTTAGCTTTTGTTAATGTTTTACTAGTTTAACAGGTGAACACTGTCGAAAAACTACTTTAAGTAGTCTCTTTAACTTTTCATCTCCAACAACACTCTCTATTTTAACAGCATTATAACATTTTATTATTAACAATTCATTCTATTTAATATTTTATTTTCAGTAATTTTAAATTTAAAAAAAAAACTCAACCCACTCATTTTCTAAAATCACATTCTCTCTCTTCCTTTTCTCCTTGGCACACGGGTGCCACATTAAGTTTTATTAATTATTTAACATTTGAATGTCACTTAGTATTACGATCTAGTTATATTTATCTTTACTTGTAATTGAGAGGTATTAGGTTTGATTCTCGCAAAAGCGAATTTTAACCACGTTATTATGGCTTGCCCATTGTCAGGTTTAGCCCACTCCTTCCCACACCCCCCCCCCCCCCAAAATAGTATAAATAATATTGCTTGTTCAAAAAAATATATATATATATATATATATATGAACAGTGAGTCCATAAACTTAAAGAGAAATGTTAAGAAGACTCTCAAAGTGGGACTCTTTATGGACTTTTAGTCACCTCATAGTTTAACGTAAATTCTCTTGCCAACATTATAAAACATTGTACAAAAAACATGAGGTGTCAAAGAGTCCATAGAGAATCTCACTTTTGAGAGAGTCTCCTTAGCATTTCTCAAACTTAAAAGACAAATGTTTACTTTGCCATTATATATATTTTTAGATTTGATTGTTTAAACTAGCAATAATGTGGTTTAAATTTGTTTTTGGCGAAAATCTAACATAAGACTTCTTACTCACAAGTAAAAAAAAATACCACTAAACTGTAGTATTAAGTGACGAAATGCTCTAAGTTGTTAAATTATGTCTTGTACACCTAGACCTATTATTCGTGATGTTTCACTTCTTTGTCTGTTATCTAACACCTTTGACCGTGGGATAGTCAAAATATTATAGGCTTTGAAGTTTAAACAATTAATCAGCGATAATTTAATTTATGTTTAGATGCTCTATTATTGAACAAGCATAAATAACGTGGTCAATGTGAAAAATAATTAAAAGCTTTTCAATATTCAGTTCATGCATTTTGTTTTTTTTTTTTTAACAAACAATATTATTTATTTAAAATGAGAAAATGTATTTTATTTATATATCTAAAAAATAGAAAACAAGAAAGATGGCAGGGGGATTCCGTTCATAAATAGTAAAACCAACGTAATGGGTTTCTTAATTTAATTTTTTATATTTATATTTTATTAAAAAGCATAATTATTCTACGGCTCAAAAGTTTATCTTTTTGTTTAGTCGGTACCCAAAATTTATCCGAAATCATTTCTTCAAAGCTACGTTATATATCAACATGTCACGCATATATTGTTTTTATTTTTTTTATTTGGAACAAGCTGATGGTTTCACTACGGTTTATTTGAAAGTGGAGAAGATTCACAAAATAATTTCAACATCTTTCTGACCATCATCATGTGTTTCACCAACGTCAGATATCAAACCTAAAACATTCCGTGTAAATAAATTCGTTCCCAAAAGTGTCATGCATATAATCCAATGAGTCATATCACACTTCCATAACCCTACACGTACTATAATATTTTCGTGGGAAAATATTAAAACTTTCAATGTTTATCTCAATTCTTTCATGGGATTGGATCAAAAATATATATTATTTTTGCAAGTATATAATTGTAAATGAAGTCACGAGGCTTCAGAAAAATAATCATTCACCTTCAATCTTAATTTTTTTTTTTTTCATGGAGTCACCAGCTTCACTAAAAATTTTAGGACAAAAATACCCTTCAAACAAAAAAGTTCAAAAGCAATCCAAAATCCAAAATAATGTACCAAATAATGCAGCAGTATTTTTATCATATAAACAGTATTTTTTTTTTAATAATTAATTATTTTTGTACAGTTTTTTTTAATTAGTACCTCACAATAGGCAATAATGTGAATCAATCAGTTATTTATTAAATATTATTTTCTCTATTTTTAAACACGTTCAAAATATCTTCAGAAGCGTATAATACCAGTTATAAAAAATGTCTTTCGATATGCATCGATTTCTGTTGTATCAAGACAAAAATCATTTTAATCAAGGATATTAATATTTGGACTTACAAAACAAAACAAAACAAGATTAATTATAATTAAAACTATTATTCGCTGCTGAAAAAAAGTAGCAAGTGCTGCTGAAAAAAGTAGCAAGTGCTACTAAAATTCAATCACAAATGGACAAGTGTCCCAGCATAATTTTCAATTTCAAATATTCGAACACACATTCATTTTAATTTTTCAACGACACTTAATTGCTACTCTTCTTTTAGCATCGAAGCATGGTTGTATGATTATATTTTCTCACTGGATGGCGGTCTTAAATCCCCAATAGTATTAATTAGTAAGTCCATTTTAGAAGCCACTTTATTCCCTATCAAACCTCCAATATGCATTATTGAACAAGAATGGTTGCAACGATTAATCATAATTCAGTGCACTGCCCTCTTTGTCCTATACTTTGCTCAAAATCTATACGTTTCCTCTTTATCTTCCATCCACAATAATCGTTTCGTTTTGTCAAATCATTAAAACGATAGGACAGACACTCACTAATGCATCCTTTAATTTTGACGTCACTCAAATGTGTACTGTTTAATTTGTTTATTTCAATGTTCGTACAACCATAGCTCATCGTTGACTTTTGTCTATGCAAATTTCTGTTTTCGGGTGTGATTGATACACATTTTTTATGTATAAACTAAGAAATTTGAAAGGAAAACAACAACATTTGTGTACCAAGTCCTAGATGTTGACTAGAAGAAATAAGAAGAGAAGTACGGATATATGCACAAGTCACTATACCACCAATATTGTATTTCATGTTCATATAATTGATGGTGTTCATTGAATTTTTTAGTCGTCGTAAAAGAAATAGGCGCCAACCACTTCAGACTATAAAAATTAATAAAATGATGGTAATATATAATTAATTACGTACGTTTCAGATTTAATTATGATAAATTAATTAAGCATTTAGAAAGGAAATAGGGAGAAAGGGTCATCGCTGGATAAACAAGTTGAGCTAATGACTCCAACAATGATGACAACAAAATTCAATAATTAGTCAT